CAAACGACTACCTCGTATATATATATATATATCATGAAGTTTTTCATCATGGTTTCTGGGAACTTTATTGGAGCTCTACCAGGGATTTTGGCGTGATGGCTTCTTTGTTTCAATTACTAGTGATTCTCTGGTCAATTTCCTTTGCCGGAGAATTTTGAGGTGTTATTCTATTACTGTTGGTGTACTTTTCCTTTTTCTTGGTGTTTCTTCTATTTTTTGGTTTTCCCGGGCATTCTAGATTCTAATTCTTTATTGGTTTCACTGTTCTATTGAATTTGGGAGATCAATTTCTTAGTGATCTTCTTTTCTAGGATTTATAATCTACGCTATTTTTTTGGTTGATGGTTCTATTCATTGGAAATTATGGCACAAGATTTATCTGTGGCTGACCCGAATTATATTGGGAACGGATCGTTTGCTGATATAGTTGGCAGATCTACTGGGGTGCTTCTTTAGGAGATAAACTGGCCTTCCCGCAACTTTACGATGATTCCATGTCTAACAAGGCTGATTTTATCTTTTTCAAGAAAGGGTCCAAGAAAGCAGGCAAACATGCTATTGTTTTCTCTGAGTCTGATAATGATAAACTACTGATAATTACAAATTTACCTTAATTGGTAAATTTCAATTAGGACATCCAAGATGGATATTATTCGAAGAGTCTTTGATGATTTCAAATTGGCGGGAAGCTGGAAGGTAGGGCTTTTTGATGGTCGTCATATTATGATTTATCTTACAAGGGAAGGGATTATGCTCAGATTTTTTCTAAGAAACTTGTTGCTATAGATGGAGCATCAATGAAGATATTAAAATAGTCTTTACATTTCGACCCTGCACATGAACCTCCTATTATCCTTATATGGTTTAATTTACCTGGATTAAAATTCCCTTTCTTTAATCATCAAGTTCTATTCTTCATTGGATCAATTCTTGGTAGAACCATGAAATTGGAGATTTCCACTTTTAATTTAACTTGACCTTCAGTTACTTGAATCCTAGTGGAAAGGGATATAACTCTTCCTGAAATTGATGAAGTTTGGTTAGGGACTGAACATAATGGTTACTGGCAATCCATTGCGATGGAACAAAAACCTTTCTATTGTTACCATTGTAAAATTTTGACCATACTAAAGAAAGATGCTATAGACTTAATCCTTCTTTGAGATCTCAAAAAAAGGATATCAATGTTCCTAATAGAGAGGAGGAGCTTATTCAGAAGTAGAATTTTCCCTCTGATATTAATTTTATTCCACTGCAGACACTTTCTTCTCCTCAACTAGAAGCTCTTGTTCAGACAGATAATATAACTATCAATATTATTACTAATAATGTGTTGAACTATGTTGGTATGCCATTGGAAGCAAGATATGACCTATAAGAAATTAATACTAATATGAATGATACATTGATTTCTTAGCCTGTAGCCATACCATTACCTATTCTTTCTCCAATTCCAACACAGTTACAAACTAATCATCCTGTTTACCTTCCAATAATGTCATTGAGATGCCAGAAAGGATTAATTACCCTATTGCTAACTCTTCAAATGAAACTGATATTGTTGATGACAGTTTACATTATCTCAGATAATCTATGGAGGAAAATTGGGAATTTTAGAGAGGTAGAAGGAAACATAAGAGACATTGGGAGTTAAAAAATTTGCTAAATGATAATTTAGTAGATCCTTGTCAGGAACAGTTACATGGGAGACCTACTAGAGTCTCCAGAACTTTAAATCTATGATCAAAAAGATGTGTTGGGACATCAGGGGAATCTCTGATTATAATTCTCTAATGAGACTTGAAAATATAAATAGAATTCATTATTTTGCTTATTTTGCTATATTGGAACCTCTTACTCAGACTCTTCCTAAAAAGATTACTAGAAGTTTTTCTCATTTTGATATTGTTTCTAATATCAATAATAAGATTTGGTTATTTTGCAAAAAAGACAATCAGTATCATGTAATTGTGAGTCATGATCAATTTCTTCATGTTCTTTTTAAGTGAGTTTTTTTGGAAACTACTGCTACTTTTATCTATGCTGGTAGTAGACTGAGAGATAATAAGGAGCTTTGGAGACATTTAAAAACTTTGTAAACTACTATTCAAGGGACTTGGTTAGTTGGTGGTGATTTTATCAGTGTGGCAAACCCCAATGAGAAGTGGGGTGATAAACCTGTTGATTTAGAAAAAAATGACTTTTTTCTGATAACATTAATGCTGCTTATTTGGTTGAACTTCCTTTCCAATGTCCTTTAGATACTTGGAAAAGAGGGAAATTACATAAAAGATTTGATAGATTCTTAGTAAATTCTCAGTGGATGGAAACTTATCAATACTCTACGACCTCTCATCTTCCTTATACTTGTTCTGATCGTAGACCTTTATTGTTGTCTATTTCTATTTCAAGTTATTAGCCCTAGGCTAGATTCAAAATTTTCAATGTTTGGACTGAACATTGTGATTTTCTTGCTTTTTTAATATGTATGGATTGCTAATGATACTCTTCCTCCTTGGAAAAGGCTTTGGATTGTCCAAAAAATCAGTGGCTCGACAGCTTAAATCTTGGAATTGGAATGTTTTTGGTGATCTTTCTCATAAAGTTAAAGAGGCTGAAAAAGTTGTTAATTAAAGCAAAAATTGATGTAGCTCTTATTGCTGAAAAAGAACTTGTTTCTGCTAATGCTAATCTGGTTCAAGCAATTAACTGGGAGGAGAACTTCAAACAAAAAACTGCTATGAAGAGATTTATTGATGGGGATCGAAATACCAAATTTCATCATGCATGTATTAAACATAGGAGGAACTCTAATGCTATTTTCAAGATCAA